GGGCCAAGCCCAGCTCCTGAAAAACAACCCCACACCATAATCCCCCCTCCACCAAACTTTACACTTGGCACAATGCAGTCAGACAAGTACCGTTCTCCTGGCAACCGCCAAACCCAGACCCGTCCATCAGATTGCCAGATGGAGAAGCGCGATTCGTCACTCCAGAGAACGCGTCTCCACTGCTCTAGAGTCCAGTGGCGGCGTGCTTTACACCACCGCATCCGACGCTTTGCATTGCACTTGGTGATGTATGGCTTGGATGCAGCTGCTCGACCATGGAAACCCATTCCATGAAGCTCTCTGCGCACTGTTCTTGAGCTAATCTGAAGGCCACATTAAGTTTGGAGGTCTGTAGTGATTGACTCTGCAGAAAGTTGGCGACCTCTTCGCACTATGCGCGTCAGCATCCGCTGACCCCGCTCCGTCAGTTTACGTGGCCTACCACTTCGTGGCTGAGTTGCTGTCGTTCCCAAACACTTCCATTTTCTTATAATACAGCTGACAGTTGACTGTGGAATATTTAGGAGCGAGGAAATTTCACGACTGGATTTGTTGCACAGGTGGCATCCTATCACAGTTCCACGCTGGAATTCACTGAGCTCCTGAGAGCGACCCATTCTTTCACAAATGTTTGTAAAAACAGTCTGCATGCCTAGGTGCTTGAATTTATACACCTGTGGCCATGGAAGTGATTGGAACACCTGATTCCAATAATTTGGATGGGTGAGCAAATACTTTTGGCAATATAGTGTATATGTCTATTGGTATTATTATCTGACCAACCTGTACTCCAACTGGACAGATACTCTTTTCAAAATAGTTTAGAGGAAGAATTGTGTAAAGGAAAATAGTTAACAGAGAAATAAATTGTCATATAAAGTACAGATATAAAAAAAAAGCTGCTTAAATGCAGTTAAGATGTACTTATACTAAGTAACCTCTTGAATATTTAAATACTTCTACATATTGTCTATGATAGCTGTATTATAAGGTTTGCAGAGAAAAAATATTATTGGGGGTGAATTACTTTAAATGCTGGCTCCATGGCATTAGAGAATAGGCAATAGAGGTCAATGACTACTTTCTATGTTTATGGTTACAAGGCCCCCACCTGGCCACCATTATAAATACACCCTGGAGTGAATGTGATCCAGAATTATAACAATAGGATTGTACTATTAGCTTAATTACTGTGTGAGGAGGTATTGTCTTTAATGACATTGAATAATTAATAATCTGAATTAAAAATAATTCTATCTGTAGCATTCTTTCTGCTACTGGGTTCTCTGAAGTGAATTGTTATTTCGTTAAAGTTTTTTGTCTGTCTGTGTTTCCCAAGTGTTTTACAAAGCAACATGGGTGTAACCTGGAGTCAGACAAAAAAACATTGTCTTAACTGGGGCCTCATGTATGGTCAGAGAGAGGTGTGGTCTGAAAGCATTATTCAGACCGATTTGTTCCTGCTGCAGTTACTCAGTGCCTCTCACTGCTGAAATAAGACCAGCTGTTGCCATCTATGCCTATTCACTCCAACAGCTCAATGATCACAGTATCAACTGGACACAATAGAACCTTGCTGTGGCTACTCCTTCTGTATTCTGGTGTTTTTTTCAGTTAGTGTCCATTACTATAATTATTATCAGAATATGACCATAAGTATTATTACTAGTGAGCATAGAAGGTAAATTAAAAAGGCTCTGTCTACCCCATTTCTCATTAAATCATCCTTTGAAATGTGAAGTGTGACACTTTGTGTTTTAAACAACATTTCCCTGCTTCCACTACTGATTGCTATAGCTCAAGAGGTAACTATTTTATTTCATTATCTTTTAAGTATTGGATTTTTATATCACGCATTCTGGATCATACACGGCAAGTAGTAAAATAAAATATTTTGGTCAGCGGACAATAAAACAAGGCACCAACAGAATAAGCAGTAGAAGATGGATGGGTGGACAGATGGAAGATAAGAAAATATAGTGTTTCAACAATACCTTTACAAAAAACAAACAGTATTTGTTGTTTGTTTAAATAAATAGAATTAAACTTACACTAACGTCACTTTAAAGACTTTCTGTTCTGTGTAGAATAATCCAGATCATGTTTAACCAGTCAAAATATCAGAGATCTGAAACGATAGGCCCAATACTACTGTTCAATTCAAATCAATTCAAAGATATTTTATTATTCCCAAAGGGAAATTAAAAATTAAACTATAACTGGAGACTAGCCCTTTAGGAGTTAGAGTCATTTGTCAACTTAGCTTTCTTAAAAAGTAAGACATTATCCTTTATTATATCTAACATAAAATATGTTTTAGAGTATTTTATTTTTTAAAGAATTCTCCCCATTAAGGCCATGACATTGATTGAAAAGTAGACTTTTCATTTGTGCTAATATTGCCATACTAACCCATCCTCTCCACAGCCTGCTAGAATAGTTTAAAGCAGACTTCCTCCCGACAAGGAATATTGTGGAATTCCCCATAACTGTGTCAGCTTGTGTCTGCTTACCATAAGTTTCTATTTTATTTGAAAGTGATATTTTCTCCTTTTTTTTAAAGCCATGCTTCATGTTCAGAAGGAGCTGCTGCTTGTCCAAGCCACATTTGTAATATTTATGTGATGGGGGAGTGGCAGTGCTAAATGCTGCAGTGTCCTGAGAATTGCTGAATCATGAGAAAAGGTAGAGGTAGATGAATGCAATTTTACATTGCAAGCTAACTGCACTGACCGTGATCCATCATCACAACACTGTACGGTACAATATATAATAACAGAAGATTAGTTCACATTACTGAAAACAGATATTTTGCCTCTCTAACATAATTTTCCTTTTATTAATTTCCTCATGACCTGACCTGATTCAAACCATCCCTGTAAACCTACACCACACACAAACACATCCTCCTCAGAGGAAGAAACAATGAATAATTGATTAGGTTCTGCTCAAAGAAAAACCACTGCAAGCAAGCAAAATAAGCTGAGATGACCAGATCCTAAGACTATCCCCTACAAAGGATTCATCTAAAGAAAGACTTCAAAGTTAATTAAACTGAAATGAGATTATCTGATAGGTCTTGTCTTGGTAGTATTGTATCTAGAAACTTTAATTCAAATTGAATATAAAGTCTAAACAACATTATTATTTAACACAGCGTTTATAATCTTGATTATCTGGCCTAGTTTCCAGACATACTGCTTCCACTGCATAGTGCATGGGCAATATTTTGTGTTAATCTTCCCTTCCAAATGTTTCACTATCAAATATATCAGACACATGAATGAATAGTCCAGTCCAACGTACAGCTAGGGAAAGTAGCTGCTCATTTGTTTGAGTTTTGACTAATCCTCTCTGACAGCTTTTATACTGACTGTGCCTTTGCAGATCACCTTGCAATGGCGACAAAGGCCTTATTCTACTGAAATTTTATGTGCAGTTAGAGGGCTTTATTGGTAGTTGAATAAGTCTGCATGCACAGTTTACAATAAGTGCAAAACTGTTACAAAATTGTAAATAAGGGTGTTAAGTCACTGTCACCAGAGTGTGAGAGGCAGGGTGGGTTTAATTATAATTTATTTATATTATGTTATATTCTCAATTATTAAATGTACATTTGGGATCAATAAAGTATTTTTGAATTAAATTGAATTTTAGCATCATAAAGACAGCCACGAGGCAGAGATAGTAGTAATAATGCCATGTGGAAGGGAATGAAATGACCTCTAATTATCCATCCATCCATCCAATTTCTAACACGCTTATCCAAATAGCCAAATAGCCTATGGAATGTTTATCATTCCAACTTTCATGACCAGTATAAGTCATTGTTTTAATATCTGAAAGTAATGTGGCTCAGAAAAGTCCATCACTTAATTTATTTCAATTCAGTTAATCTATAAAGTAGAGATTAGAGAAAGCTATATTTCTTTCTGTGCTGGCAACCTCACAATTTAAAGAAGAACCTTAATAAACCAAATAATTTCCAGGAAACTTAGGTCTGATATAAAAAAACAGAGTGAGAATGAGGATGGAAATAGCAAAGGAAAAGAAAGGTTGAAAAAATACACAGAAAACACCTGATTTATGTGAAAACAACCACAGAGGAGTAATAATTCTTTTTATCTTTATTCACTGAAATATGTTTTAAGAACAGTCTTTTTACAATAAATCTCACCAAGATGCTTATCATTTAGAGGCTGCTTCTCAGATCCAGGATGAGTAATGCCAATTTATGTGGTGCTTCATGTTATTATTAATTGTTTTACTTATAATTTGAATGTTTTTCTGATTTAGGGTGACTAAGGAATATTTTACTTGCGCCAAATAAGTAAAGGGAAAATTCAGTATAAAAATTAAAGAACTATGGATATTCATTTTTAAATAAAAAATAAGAAAAGAAGTTTGGGTTAGGCTAATGGCTCACTAATTGAAATGTCAAGATATAATTTCAGCAATGGATTATATTAATGACTTATTTATTTATTTATTTATGTAATTTCAACTATTACAGAATTGGTCCTTTATAACTTTCAGATCACGGGATTACACATAAAATATTTGCTAAAACAGAGAACAAAGCTGATTTATTGCGGAAGTTGTGTACTGCCTGTTTGGTCAGTCTTGTTGCAACAACTTCCGCTATCGAGGTCTCTGAACTGGACCTTGGAGCTTTAAAATTAAGCCACGCACTGAATATGAATACCAAGAAATGACTATAATGTTTCGCTAATCTGTGCCCTGGAAGGCGGTAATGAAAAGCCTAGACTCTGTTCGCCGCGTTGCATTTCCGTTCGGCCATCATTGGATTACAGAGAGGAGGGAATGAGAGGGGAAGTTGGGTGACGTGTGCGTGTGGAGGGAGGGACCATGGGCCTACATGAATCCGATTGACAGTTTTTTAGTCCAATAGCAAATAAATGTGCGAAGCGTGTTTGGTTTAACCCCACGCCTGTAAGTTACAGATATTGAAGATAGCCAATAGCGGTTTAACGGGGGCGGGCTATTCCTCAATAAAAGAAGAACAGATCTAGTTAGCGCGCAGTTACCAACGGAAATCCAAGCAGGCTTTGTCGACGTGGAGCAGCGAGCTATCAGAGAAAATGAGGGAAATTGTGCATCTCCAGGCCGGCCAGTGTGGAAACCAGATTGGTGCAAAGGTAAGGGCAAGTTATATATACTGCGAATAGGTTTAACATTTAAAGAACACCTTTTCTAAGCTGTTAAAGCTTCTGCCTTGTGCTTCCTGCGCCCCTGTAACCACACCCTGGGAATATCACTGTGCCCCTATTCTTTCGAATTGAGCAGTAATTGAATGACTAGGTAAACTAAATTGCTCTGTATCGGGTTTTGTCGATAGCGAGCCCTAGAATCTCCAGGTTTTGTCGATCTATAGTGTCTTATTATGTTTTTTTTTTTTTTTTTTTCCTTAAATTTATTTTTCCTGGACCAAGAACGGTTGAAAAATGGCGGCAGGATTATACAGCGCACTTGCTTTTGGAAAAAATGATCAGCCCTTCAAGTCATAATTCATTCTTTATATGTGATCAAAGGAGTGATCATTAAAAAGGTTAACTATGCGAACTTCGAAATCTTTTTCCGCCTAATCGCCGTTCCTAAAGGAAAATTAAAAATGTAGCCAAGGTGAATGTTTAAAATTATTTGGCGGATTCATATTTTTAACCACTGAGGCCTACTTGCAGCGCGCTTTGAATGGCGCCTAGTTTCTGGGCGGACCGTTAGTGACGTAGGGGGGGAAGTTTGAAATTCATAACTTGCACAGCCAATAGGGGAGAACGCGCGCTCAACGGCGGGAAATGGCGGCAATAAACAAAAATTATTTAAAACTCACTCCAACATGTATGTATTTTTAATTTTTCAGTTCTGGGAAGTTATCAGTGACGAGCATGGTATTGACCCAACTGGTACTTATCATGGAGACAGTGACCTGCAGTTGGACAGGATCAATGTCTACTACAATGAAGCCTCTGGTAAGTAGCCTAGTACTGTTTATATGAACCGGTGTTGTACTCAATCCTCATGTGTGTGCTCTTTGTTCTGTCTAGGTGGAAAGTATGTTCCCCGAGCAGTGCTGGTGGATCTGGAGCCTGGAACCATGGACTCTGTGAGATCTGGACCATTCGGGCAGGTCTTCAGGCCTGACAATTTTGTTTTTGGTATGTTGCAGAGAAATTGACTTCATGTGTCAATTTAAGTCCTCTGAAGTTAATTTTTTATTTTTTTTTATCAATTTGCAGGTCAAAGTGGTGCTGGGAACAACTGGGCCAAGGGCCACTACACTGAAGGTGCAGAGCTGGTGGACTCTGTCCTTGATGTGGTCAGGAAAGAGGCTGAAAGCTGTGACTGTCTACAAGGATTCCAGCTCACGCACTCCCTCGGTGGCGGTACCGGCTCTGGTATGGGTACCCTCTTGATCAGCAAGATTCGTGAAGAGTACCCTGACCGCATCATGAACACCTTCAGTGTAGTTCCGTCTCCCAAAGTGTCCGACACTGTTGTTGAGCCCTACAATGCCACATTATCAGTCCATCAGCTTGTGGAGAACACAGATGAGACGTATTGCATTGACAATGAGGCTCTTTATGACATCTGTTTCCGCACACTCAAACTCACAACCCCCTCATATGGTGACCTTAACCATTTGGTTTCTGCCACAATGAGTGGAGTCACAACCTGCTTGAGATTCCCTGGGCAGCTCAACGCTGACCTGCGTAAGCTGGCTGTTAATATGGTGCCATTCCCACGTCTGCACTTCTTCATGCCAGGCTTTGCTCCCCTTACCAGCAGAGGTAGTCAGCAGTACAGATCCCTCACAGTACCTGAGCTGACCCAGCAGATGTTTGATGCCAAGAACATGATGGCTGCCTGTGATCCACGTCACGGCCGCTACCTGACAGTGGCTGCCATCTTCCGTGGCCGCATGTCCATGAAGGAAGTGGATGAGCAGATGCTTAATGTGCAGAATAAGAACAGCAGCTACTTTGTTGAATGGATTCCAAACAATGTCAAGACTGCAGTCTGTGACATTCCTCCTCGTGGGCTCAAGATGGCTGCCACATTCATTGGCAATAGCACAGCCATTCAGGAGCTGTTCAAGCGCATTTCTGAACAGTTCACAGCTATGTTCAGGCGCAAAGCTTTCCTCCACTGGTACACCGGTGAGGGTATGGATGAGATGGAGTTCACTGAAGCAGAGAGCAACATGAATGATCTGGTGTCTGAGTACCAGCAGTACCAGGATGCCACTGCTGAGGAGGAGGGAGAGTTTGAGGAGGAGGTTGATGATGATCTGGCCTAAATTTTCCTGTCAATGTTTTTCTGTTCTGTTGTGACCTGTCTTTTTCAGTGTTCTAAATAAATACATTCACAAAGAAACAAACATGGTTTTATTTTTATCTTATTGGTTCAGTTGCTTTTTTAACTTATTCCTCAGCCTCCTGACTTGCTTCCTGTTTTACTGTATCCTGTTCATCCCACATTAAAGTCATCAGGCTCCATTTTATAGTGCTACATGTCTCCTGTAGCATACAGAGTCCACTAGGTGGCAGTATTGAATAGAATCTGGGATGTCTGGAGTAGTATGGGCACTAAACCCATTTGATAAAAGGCAAGCAATACAATAAATGAAAAGATGAAATTACTTCAATACACTTTGAAAATTACAGATTCATTGCTATAAAGATGGAAATGCTTACAAACATTTCTGGTAGTTGAGCCCATTTTCAAATATTTGAACATGAAGGAAAAGAATATTACTGCCTACTTATGGGATTAACCCATAACATTGTTGTCCTTGTGAAACTGCCTGCAGGTTTTGGTTTTAAAAATCTTATCCATTTGTCCCCAAAATACATCTGTAAGTGGTCCACTCATGTTCCCTGCTCAGTTGCTCCACTCTTCTCTGAACTTGAGGACCTGCAGAAATGAATGCTTAATTTAATGACTAGATCAACATCCAGCATATGTGAAGTTTCAGCCCAAACATTTTTTTTTTTTGGTGGGGGGGGGTTTGTAATGGATAACTACAGGATGGCATAGCATGGTTTGTATAAACTGTTCTCTTCTTCCAAACTGTTCATGCATGCCTGCAATAAATTTGTTTTGAAGTTGTGAGATGCACACTATTTGTTTAAAATTTTAAGCCTCTCAGCATAAAATATTTTGAAGATGAGAAATCTGCGTCCTGGTATGTTGAGACCTGATTTTTTTTTTTACTTATCCACTGGGGTTCCTTTTTAGCTGAGCTGCATCTGCGTAATTATTTTGATAAAACGTAAAAAAGACAAAAAAATGAAATGAAAGAACATTCTTTTGGTTTTTTGAGATATCATTTGATTCCTGCTTTTAACATATTGTGATCCTCCTGTATGCCTAAATGAGCCCATGTCAATAGGTGAGGGGTCACTATAATCCATTGCGGTGCTAACGTAGACATATCTACAGGTGCTGGTCATAAAATTAGAATATCATGAAAAAGTAGATTGATTTCAGTAATTCCATTTAAAAAGTGAAACTTGTATATTATATTCATACATTACATACAAACTCATATATTTCAGATGTTTATTTTGTTTAATTTTGATGATTACAAATGACAACAAATGAAAATCTCAAATTCATCATATCAGAAAATTAGAATATTCAATTCAATTCAGTTTATTTATATAGCGCCAAATTCACAACACATGTCATCTCAAGGCACTTTACAGTTCAACCAGATCAAATTGATACAAAGTTTTCTATCTAAGGAAAACCAGTTGATTGCATTGACTCATTGACTCAAATACAATCCCCCACACTAAGCATGCTTGTAGCGACAGTGGAGAGGAAAAACTCCCTTTTAACAGGAAGAAACCTCCAGCAGAACCAGGCTCAGTGTGAGCGGCCATCTGCCGAGGCCGACTGGGGTTCAAGGAGACAGAAGCAGAGATACAAAAAGCAGCTGTAAAAGGCGGCCCCGTCCAGGAAACACACAGCCAGGCAGACGAGCTCCAAGGCAGCTCCCATGCCAGAGGACGAAGAAAGCACATCCACTCAGTCACGGTCAGAGAAACAGGACCACACTGGAAAACAGGCCGATCTCCAACATCTATAAACAAGGGTGTTGATAGAAGCAGCACAGCTGATGTTTCTTTCCAGGATGACGTCACAGCCAAACAGGAACAGACGAGGCAAAGCTACTCTGAGGAAAAGCAGAGAGAGCAGAAGGTTAGAGATTGAACTAACAGATTCTGCAGAATAGGAGAACAGAGAGAGAATGAAGCAGAATGATGAAATGGGGGTCCCTATGTCCTCCAAAAGTCTAAGCCTATAGCAGCATAACTATAGAGATAGCTCAGGATAACCTGAGCCACTCTAACTATAAGCTTTATCAAAAAGGAAAGTTTTAAGCCTAGCCTTAAAAGTAGACAGGGTGTCTGCCTCACGGACTAAAACTGGTAGTTGGTTCCACAGGAGAGGAGCCTGATAACTAAAAGATCTGCCTCCCATTCTACTTTTAGAAATTCTAGGAACCACTAGTAAACCTGCAGATTGAGAGCGAAGTGCTCTGTTAGGAACATAAGGAACAATCAGATCTCTGATATAAGATGGAGCTTGGCCATTTAAGGCTTTATATGTGAGAAGGAGGATTTTAAATTCTATTCTTGATTTAACAGGAAGCCAATGAAGAGAAGCCAGGATAGGCGAGATATGATCTCTCTTTTTAATTTTCATTAGAACTCTGGCTGCAGCATTTTGGATCAGCTGAAGGCTTTTAACTACAGTTTGTGGACTTCCTGATAGTAAAGAATTACAATAGTCCAGCCTTGAAGTAACAAATGCATGGACTAGTTTCTCAGCATCACCCCTGGACAGGATATTTCTAATTTTTGCAATGTTCCTCAGATGAAAGAAGGAAATTCTAGAAACCTCCTTGATATGGGACCTAAATGACAGGTCCTGATCAAAAACAACACCAAGATTTTTTACTTTATTATCTGAAATCAGTTTAATCCCATCCAAATGAAGTGACTGGCTAATCAGTTTCTTTTTCAGAGACTCTGGTCCAAAGACTATAACTTCTGTTTTGTCTGCATTCAGAAGCAGAAAGTTAAGAGTCATCCAGGTTTTTATGTCTTCAAGACATGCCTGTAATCTATGTAATGGGTTAGCTTCATCTGGATTTATAGACAGATATAGCTGGGTATCATCAGCATAACAGTGGAAATTAATCCCATGCTGTCTAATAATTCTACCAATTGGGAGCATGTATAAAGTAAAGAGAATTGGTCCTAGCACTGATCCCTGTGGTACTCCACAGGTAACCTTTGAGCGTGTTGAAGATCTATCATTAACATGAACAAACTGAATTCGATCAGATAGATAAGATTTAAACCAGTCTAGTGCTGTTCCTTTAATTCCAACAAAATATTCAAGTCTTTCTAAAAGAATATTATGGTCAACTGTATCAAATGCAGCACTAAGATCCAACAGGACGAGCACAGATACAAGTCCATTATCTGAGGCCATGAGAATATCATTAGTGACTTTCACCAGAGCTGTTTCAGTGCTATGATGAGCTCTAAAGCCAGACTGAAACTCTTCAAAAAGTTCATTATGGTGGAAGTGATCGCAAACTTGTTTGGCAACTACTTTCTCAAGAATTTTGGATAAGAAAGGAAGATTGGATATAGGTCTATAATTGACCAAGTCATCTGGGTCAAGAGACGGTTTCTTAAGCAGAGGTTTAATTACAGCAACCTTAAAAGCTTTAGGTACATATCCCTGTAACAGAGATAGATTAATCACATCTAAAATGGAGGAGGAGATCAAAGGGAATACCTCCTTAAATAACCTGGTTGGAACTGGATCTAACATACAAGTTGAAGGCTTAGATGAAGACAATAATTTTGCTAATTCAGAGAGTTCAACTGGATCAAAGCAGTCTAAACCCAGTTCAGATTCCATGACTACCTCAGGTACAATCGCGGATAGAGGAGTGCTTATGATCTTATTTTTAATAAGATCAATCTTATTTATAAAGAATCCCATAAAGTCATTGCTGCTAAGAGCAGGTGGAATGGACGGTTCAACAGAGCTATGGCTCTGGGTGAGTTTGGCAACTGTATTAAAAAGAAATCTAGGATTATTCTTATTCTCCTCTATTAATGAGGAGAAGTATGCTGCTCTTGCTTTACAAAGGGTCCTCTTATACAGCAGTAAACCATTTTTCCAGACTAGGAAGGTTCAAAATTGATGGCCCCTGGTGCCACACTCTAATCAGCTAATTAACTCAAACCACCTGCAAAAGCCTTTAAATGGTCTTTCAGTCTAGTTCTATAGGCTACACAATCATGGGGAAGACTGCTGACTTGACAGTTGTCCAAAAGACGACCATCGACACCTTGCACAAGGAGGGCAAGACACAAAAGGTCATCGCTAAAGAGGCTGGCTGTTCACAGAGCTCAGTGTCCAAGCACATTAATAGAGAGGCGAAGGGAAGGAAAAGATGTGGTCGAAAAAAGTGTACAAGCAAGAGAGATAACCGCACCCTGGAGAGGATTGTGAAACAAAACCCATTCAAAAATGTGGGGGAGATTCACAAAGAGTGGACTGCAGCTGGAGTGAGTGCTTCAAGAACCACCACACACAGACGTATGAAAGACATGGGTTTCTGCTGTCGCATTCCTTGTGTCAAGCCACTCTTGAACCACAGACAGCGTCAGAAGCGTCTTGCCTGGGCTAAAGAGAAACAGGACTGGACTGCTGGTGAGTGGTCCAAAGTCATGTTCTCTGATGAAAGTAAATTTTGCATTTCCTTTGGAAATCAAGGTCCCAGAGTCTGGAGGAAAAGAAGAGAGGCACTTCATCCACGTTGCTTGAAGTCCAGTGTAAAGTTTCCACAGTCAGTGATGGTTTGGGGTGCCATGTCATCTGCTGGTGTTGGTCCATTGTGTTTTCTGAGGTCCAGGGTCAACGCAGCCACATACCAGGAAGTTTTAGAGCACTTCATGCTTCCTGCAGCTGACCAACTTTTTGGAGATGCAGATTTCATTTTCCAACAGGACTTGGCACCTGCACACAGTGCCAAAGCTACCAGTACCTGGTTGAAGGACCATGGTATCCCTGTTCTTAATTGGCCAGCAAACTCTCCTGACCTTAACCCCATAGATTTTCTATGGGGTATTGTGAAGAAGAAGATGCAATACACCAGACCCAACAATTCAGAAGAGCTAAAAGCCACTATTAGAGCAACCTGGGCTATCATAACACCTGAGCAGTGCCACAGACTGATCGACTCCATGCCACGCCGCATTGCTGCAGTAATACAGGCCAAAGGAGGCCCAACTAAATACTGAGTGCTGTACATGCTCATACTTTTCATGTTCATACTTTTCA